CTAGGCTAAAGAGAAATGTGCTTTCTGCTGGACAATGAGAACTGTTTACACAATTTCTTATTACAGAGATGATACTCTCCCACATAGATACAAAATGCACCAACCCATTGTTAACACAAACAAACATTTAGATGAACATATGAGTGCTTATGTTCATGGAAAGAAGTTTTGAGAACTTGCCATTTTAGCTGTCCACATCCTGGGGCTGGCAAATGGGCTCAGTCCCCAACAAACATTAGGCTACTGTAAGGAAAAAATAATAATAATAGGAATTTCAGCCCACAACCGCTGTTCATGGAAGTCTATCACAACGTAGTCAGATAGACCTTCTGATTGTCAGCGGAAGGACCTGGAATGATCTATGCAGGTGAATCAGTGGAAAGTCACCTTAGGTTTTATGTGTGATATTTCTGTGGATGTAACATGGAGACTGATTGAGCAAAAATGGGTGTTTCATGGATATGGGACACAACAGAGATTTATTAAGGAGGAGCTGGCAAGCTCTGCCAGAGGCTGACAGCATAATGAAGGCAGTGCCTCAATTGAGGCAGACGATACGGGCATGTCATGGCTTCTGTTTGGTGGGAAGTCATTGCCCAAGCAAAGTTTGTTCCTGAAAAACCTGTGAATAGCGGATGTCCATGCACTTTTAGATTATGTCTCTGTGATGTGGGGATTGGCAGATGGATGGCAGATTGTACTGCAAGGAAAACATCCTCAGTGGACTGAAGATCTTAGTGCACTGCCTCTGTTTGGGCATATCTCCTACAGCCATTGATTTCATGTGCATGCTTATTTACGTATATCAGCATACCTATTTGAAATGGGGGTGCTGAAACCCTTCCTACTCTTTCCGTTCTTCTCCCTGTTTTGCTTTTTTGTTGTTGCTGCTGTTACTTTTGGTTGCATTTGCAAATATTTTTTAACTGAGAGTTCGCACAAGCATTAGAAGCTCAGAGAGCATTTAAGTCCCTTTTTACAACAGCTTTACTGTCCAGCACGCACCATTCCAAGTGCTGGTTATGACCAATATAGCTGTGTATGAATTCAGACCAGGCTGCTTTCTCCCAGGTGAACCTGCCTCACTTTTAAGTTGTTCCTCATTCCTGCCACCATCAGTCTGGTGGGGATGCAAGACAGGTCCCCCTCAGTGGCTGCTCCCAAGCTCTGGAATTCCTGCATCTCCCTCTGTGGTCCTTCTGTCAGCAGAGAAAGAAGTTTTTATCGGGGTTGGTCTTTAGCATATAAACTGGTGGTTTCCTGAAGGGTGTTTGGTTTCTTGGCACACTCTTTTGCTTTCCTTTTAAGTAGCAAGATTCTAATTCTCCCATGTGTATACACAAAACTACAGAAAACAATGGACTGGTTATGAAAAAAAGAAAAATGTTTCAGGGCATACTTTTCTGCAGTTTGATTGTACACACAACCTCAATATGTATTACTTGCACTGGTCATGGAATTAAGAATTAAGATCATGTGAAGGATTTGGGGTTGAGTGCAAATTTGCGTTGAGCATGGAGCACGATGCCCTGCCCTGACTAATTTGCTCACCTCCGACGTTTGGCCTTCCCCCACATCCTTTCACCAGAGCATCCGGTCCCTCTGTGCTCTCTCTCTTTCTGAGTGCAGGGTTGTACCTCAGAGGGAGATGGTACCCTTTAAACGTCCCAGACTCAGTGGCTGGCATTGCCAGGGAGGACCGGGAAGGAGCCTTCTCTGGGGAAACGGAACGGTAGCATCTGTGCGGGTGAACAGCACGGGGCTGGTAGCACGCGGCCCAGTGGCAGGCGGCACGCCAAGGCCCCCGCCTCCCCCCGGGCGAGGGCAAAGTTCTGCAGTCACTCAGTGAAGGAGATGATTGGGCTGAGGTAACTTAGCTGGCTCCCAGATACGAGGATGCGACAGTGCACCCTCTGGGGATCAGCGGCAACATCACGCTCCAGAAACTGCCCACAGGCAACACTTCTTTTTCTAGCTCTTACGGAAGAAGAAATCCACGGTTTTGGAGACATTGGCCTCTGCATGGTCCGTCAGGGGCTGTTTGGCCTACTGATTCTGCAAGCACAACAAAGTTTGCGCCTGCTTAGTTTTCCCAACTTAATTTTCTGTGTTTGGGCTTTGGAGAGGAAAAGAGTAATGGACATGAAGTTGAAGGCAGAAGAAAAGGTGAAACAGACATCTCTACATGGCATGGAATGCAGTCCGATGCCCCCTTGGCTTCCATTAACGAACGGTGCAGTTGCACTCAAACCGCATTTGCATGCTGGGTTGGCGGCGGCATTTCTCCTAAAACAGATTGTGGGAGCTTCAGGTGCTCAGCTGAGCTGGGTGCTGGAGTCTTGTGCTTGCACGGTGGTCCTGCGGCCCACATGGAGCCCACTCATCACTGAGAACAAATTACCTTTTGTTTCCATTTTTGGAACAAACCTTCCTGCTGCCAGACTCCTTGTAGAGCTTCTGCCTGGCTGTACACACTGTTCAGAGAATAATTATAGCTGCCCTGTTTTGTGTTGCACTACATAATTTGCTTAGTAAGTAATTGAGCATTCCCGCCCGCGCCTTGACAAACTTGCAAGTACACTTTCTGGTAGCTCGGGAGCGGGGGTTGAGTTGTTGCGTGCCATGGCTGATGTCTTCCCCTGCAAAAATGATTTCCCCTTAACTACATGTTGCATTTTGGATGTGCTATGGTGGCATAATTTTTCGAAAGGAGAATGAAGCAGTGAAATGTTCCACCTTATCCTAAGTGAGCAAACAGTTTTTAAGAGTGGCTCAAACAGGCTGCCCTGTGTGTGCATGGATGGCTTTTATCCCGCCATTATCTCCGGAGAGAGAGGTCTGGCAGGTCTTTACACACAAGCTTACAACACCTGGGCATCAGGTGGAAGGAGTACCGTGTTTCCCCGAAAATAAGACACTGTCATATTTTTTTTGGCTCACAGAAACACACTAGGTCTTATTTTCGGGGTAGGTCTTATTTTTTAGCAAGTACCAAAAATAGTATTAGGTCTTATTTTCGCGATAGGTCTTATTTTCGGGGAAACATGGGAAGTATGCTATGAGCATCCATTTCTTTTTGAAATCGTGTATTGGTTATTTATTCATCCGTAGGATCTCAAGGGGGTTCATGCACCACCTTCAGTTCAGGATGCTGAGCAGGAGGGAGCACCCCCCCCCCAGCCCCACCTCAACATTTCTCTTTTTTCATGTGTTGGCAATAAGCATTGAGATTTCCAGGAAGGCCAAAGCATGGCAGATTGGCTGGGAGCGCTTTCCACACAGCTTCTCCCTTGACACGGTTGGGCGAGATGACCTATGAGGCCCCTCCTGGCTCTGTGATGCTGAGTTCTGCTGAGGAGTTCAGGATGCAAGGAGCGTCTCAGCCTGTCGCTCCTCCGCCATCTCTCATTACAAACCTGGGAAGACGACGTGTGTGCTTAATTCCTTTTGTTATTCCTGTCCCTCATCACCTGTTGTGTTTGTGTCTGTCTCAGGTCCGAATGCTTCAAGTACAAGAAAACGATCAATTATCCACTCCTGTTTCTACTAATAGCCTACAGCACTGGCGTCACCATAGTAAGCTAAAGCATGTTGTGGAATTCTTGGGGCAGGGAAGGTTACAGGTGGGGTAGATCCTTTCTCTTCTGCCATCGGCACACAGCTTCTTCATAATCCACTGCTTCCCTTTCTCTTTTGCAAAAAAAGAGACGGCATGTGTGGTGTGGGGATTTAGACCACAGGATTGGGACTCCAGTGATCTGGGTTCCAGTCCCTGCTCAGCCACGGAGCTCACTGGGTTGTTTTCTGGGGATGCAGTCAAGAGGAGGAGAATGATGTAAGCCACCTTTACTTCCTTGGAAGGAAAAAGGGTGGGCTGTAAATATAATAATAAGTACCAAACATCGTATACCCAACTCCAGATGAATCCACAGCAGTGCCCTACAGAACAGCTTCTACCAGTGTCTTCTAATTTTGAGTGGCTTGCTGTATTCTGAATGTCAGTGTAAAATGCCCCTTGTGCTTTGGTGTAAATTTCCATTTGAATTGCTGAGGTGGGGCAGGAACGGGTGTTTTGCAGACAAAAGGTCTCAGCATGTGGAAGAATCCATTCGGGGGGGGGGGGATCTCTTCGTTTCCCTGGATCTCGACTCCCTGGTTTCTGGCCCACTTTGTTGTGGCCCTGAGTCCACGTTCCTGGCGAGCACAGCCACTGTTTGCGGGCGCTTGCCAGGATCGGGCCCTACTGCACACTCACCGTCCTGCTTCCGTGCCACACACAGCAGCTGTTCTTTGTCCTGCTGAACCTGACATGGAAGGAGGTTCCATGAGCATCTGCAGACTTCTCAGCTCAGCTCAGCTCAACTCGCTTTCCAAGACTGGGCCGAGCCCAAGGGGAAGTCTTCGAATGCCAGAGAGACGGGTTCCTGTGAGTGTTATCCGGCCCTAGTCCCAGGTTCGATCCTCGGCATCTCCGGCTAGGACTGGAACAAAGACTCGTGCCCAAGACCTGCGACGGCCCATCCATGTCAGTAACCCTGGCCAGATGGGCCAAGGGTCTGCCACAGGACAAGGCAGCGTCTGACACTCCTTTAAACCTGCAGCGGCTGCTGCATCCGTCTGAATGTGAGCTTAGCGGCATCCTCAGCGGGCCACTGGCAGCTCTCTCGCCACACGTGGGTCCTCTGTGGTGAAAGCTAGGAAGAGGCGCTCTATACTTACACTCTGTGTTTATCTTCTACAGGTGTACCTAAATTGGAAACAACCTGTGTTCCATCAGGTAATTGTTGCTCTTTTCTTCAGCTGAGACATAAGGGGTATAGTTGTGTATCATGGAACATTGGAGGCGTTTCTTGGGTGCCTTGGCCGAGCGTTTGTATCCATGGGGCCTGAGGCATTTTGCCGGAACCACCAGTTTCCTCACCAGTGAAGAGATGTCATGCGAAACAGGCATTGCCACTACGGAGCACATGTGCTCAAGCATAGCGTTGCCTGCCAACCCAATACATACCTATATTGCATACCTCACGACCTTGTTTACATGTAATGGCAGCCCATTGGTTAAATAAACATCGAGCTTTTGAGGACAAGCACCACCATTTCTGCTTTTACTCCACAACTTAGATTTGGCTTCTTCCTAGGTTGCGAACATGACATCCACAAGCCCTTTGAATTTTCTTCATTTTGTTCTGTTACAACCTGGAATTTAAATGGGTTTGTTTGGCCTTGCCATCATTTGCTGTAAGACTGTGAAGATGCAAAATGTGTTTCTTGTGGCACAAACATTAAATGTACAAAAGCAAACTGGCACTTGTTGGTTGCAAAAGTGCTCAAACCCTTTGCTGCAACATGCCTCCATAAGCTCTGACCAACCCACCGCCTCCAGAAGTAGTTGAATGGAATTCCCCTGAAACTCCGGCTTTGATATCACACTCCCCAGTTCATGAAGGAGCCGGTTGTGAGTTGTATAATTGAAGCAGAAGTGGCAGCACTTGTCCTGACAGCCTGTGGGATATTTAACTGATGCACTGTTGTTATGTCTGAACAGGGCCACTCTATTCTGCTTTTTTGAACGGATGGAATACCACTACATACAAACCATGCCATCATGAATAAAACAAAACAAAGCATAATATTCCAATACGGATTATCTTTCTTACACATTTCTTTGCTTTGCAGATATTTAGCCAAACATTTTTTTAGACTTCAAGTAAAATGTAGGCATGCCAGGAGCTAGATAGATGTTCTTTGGGATTAGATCTGACTCACAGGCCACAAGTATCTTGAAGCATAGGAATTCCGTTCTGTTGTAATTGCCAAATACATTGTTTCAAGAGTGACTAAAACTTAATGATCAGAATATAACAAGCCTTTTGTGGTTAAAAGCTGTAACAAAGAACCTCACCTCACAATCCACATCTCTTCTCATAGGTCCCTTCCTGTTTTCTCTCCCCTTCCTTGAACAGCCTTTCAGCCACCCAAGACCCTTGTGAAAGAGTGGCTTCAAGCTTACAGTGTAGTAAATCTACTGCTCAGACTAATACCTTCCGTAATTGTCCTGATTAAACTGTCTAGAAACAAGATGCTTGGCCCTCCAGAACGGATATCCCATTTCTCAGTGCCCAACTGAGGGGACAACCCTGAATGCAACCCACCAGTTACAGAGGGAATTTGATTCCGAGTAAATAGCCAGAGGATTGCATTGTAAGAAAATATTTAGACTTCTGCATGCCTGCATCAGATTTTTAAAACACCGAGAAAATCAGTATGGCTGGGTGCTTTTCTGCCTCTGCTCCAGCAAAGGAAACTTGCTGGTTTCTCTCCCCGCACCACAAATGTCTGAATCTGAGTTATTTCTTTTTCCTGTGCCATGAGGTGGAAACATCTTTCTGAATGTTTAAACTTCAGTTTATGTTGAGCAATAATCTGCCTTTCTTGGCAAGCTCCTGGTAGTATTGTTTCCACCTTCTAGCCAAATGAGGTGCTGAAGGGCACGCAGAGTTAATTGCCTGATTAAGTATTAGTAAACTTGCCTCACAGTGGCATTGTGTTCTTATACCACTAGCTTTTCATTCTGCACATGATATAAATAACTTTCTTAAACAGACCGGGACTAGGAAACACTCCCTATTTCTATTTTTCAGCCTAATTGTTAAGGCATATTCAGTCATGCCTGCATTCCAAGCATGTTGGAATCTCTTCTTCATAGAACCCTTCCCCAAACCGGTCCCCTCTGGAGATGTTGGATGTCAGCCTCCATCTTCCTCAGCCAGCCTTGCCGTAGGTTGTACCACCTAGGGAGTGATGGGGGAGTCACAGTCTGCCATGCCTGGAGGGCATCAGGTTGGGAAGCCTGGTTCATTATAGCAGAGGCTAAAATCCCTATTTGTGTAATACCCTTTTTGGGCCAGCGAAAGCATCCTGTATGAACAGGTGGCGACAGGTCTCCTGAAACCCGTGTGAGAATTCACTTAAACACGTCTTTCCAGCCAACGAGGATTACAGAGCCCGTTTTCACAATAGCACGTTAAATAAATGCACAGCATATGTCAGAGATGGACACGTGCGCTCTCCTTGCTTTCTGCATGCTGCTTCTGCTGCTGATCTCTCCTCCTCTTCCTCCTCCTCCTCCCCCCCCCCCAGCTTGCCAGTCCCTTTTGATGTCTACTGGAGCTTAGTGAATGTGCAGGCAGATTGTCAGACTCAGGTGGAGAATTGGCAGCTCCTAGCCAGCAGACCAAGTTGGGGAAGGCTGTATGGAGGAAGGAGAGAATCCAGCATGCTTGGAATGCGTGGATATGGACTTGGATGCAAACCAGTGAACAAGAAGCAGGGAATCCGGGAGCTGTGGCCTGTAGACGCTTCCTCCTCTGTGAACATACTCGTCCTCCTTACTTAGGCTTGGGAAAGTAGTACTAGAGTAGTGACTAGCAGAAGATTTCTTTTCAAGCCTGGCCGGGGTGGGTACTCTTTGTAGAGAACACGGGAGGAGAGCAGGATTAACTCTGGTTGTGTCTGGGGTGTCTTGTATGGATGGCTCTGCAGGTGACGTTCCGTGGCTGTGGGGATCTTTGTGAATGCAGTGTGTGTGTGTGTGTGTGTGTGTGGCGGGGGTGGGTGGGCATGTCGCTGGAAAGTTGGCTGCCGGGAAATACAGCCCTTGAGCTGAAAAAGGCTCCCCATCCGTCGGTTGCATTTTGGTTCTGTATATTCAAGGCCTGCTTTGCACTCTGCAGTGTGATGTGCTGTTATCAGAGGAGGAAATAAAAGAGTTTAGCAGCTCTGGAAGATACTAGAATCCTCTTTGGAGTTTTGGTGAACAAAGGGGGGAGGTGGAGCATGTTGAGAGGGTAAAACCTGGAAAGGCTTCGCGAACTAAAGGCACTGGATGGTCATCTGAATGGCAGCTTTAGCAGTGGATGTTGAGGAGAAAAGGCAGAGTGAAAAGAAGTGGCAACAGTAAAAGAACAGTGGAGCGTATTTTATCTGGCTGTGCAGCCCATGACGGAAAATCAGATTATTGTCTTAACAGCCACTCCCAAGGCACATTAACCCATGGAAAGTCTTGGAGAAATGTGCAGCAGCAGCTGAACTAGCATAACTCGGAAGCAAAAGGGCTTTTTGCATTAAGAGTTTCTGTGAGCAAAATTCATCTGGTGCATGAATTGAACTGAAGTATGGTTTCCGAGGCAGGGAAGAGAAATCTAAGTCAGCGCATTTCTCTCTGGAAGCCTGGCCACTGCCTCCTCCCTTATGTCACAATTTATTGAGGGTTTTTTTTTTTTCCTTTTTAGCTGCATGGAACCAAAATGTAACCAGCCTTGAATGTGTTTCCTTTTGCGCAAAGAAACTTAAAAGTGGAATGAGCTTGCGAAAAGGGAGCGCGGTGTCTTGCAAGCCTCACTGGAGAGAGAAATGTAACACCTCCCCACTTCCTTTGCCCACAGGTTATGTATGGGACGCTGGTGGCGCTTCTGGTACTCCGTTCTGTATATATAGTGCTATGGTAAGTAATGAGTAAATCTGGAAGTGGCAGCAAATTAACGAGCAGAGCAGCTTTCTGTGAGAAACTGGAATTGTCCTCCTGGGCTTCCCAGAGACCTCTTACCCACTGGCCTTTCTGATGGGCATTATTAAACTGCTGCTGGATTTCTCTCGGGCATTATCGGTTTTGGATAGGAATAATTGTGTTCCTGTGCACCAGTGCTCTTGTTAACAGTCACCTTTGTGGTTCACAGAAAAGCCCCTTAGTGACTCCACTGGGAAGCTGCCATCAGGGCACAGTTTCTTCTGGGTTCCCCCCGCCCATCAAGCAAAGTGCTGCTGACCCATACGGAGAGCAGCATCCCATGTGACTGGCAAAGGAGCTCGTCTGTACATGTTTCTGCAGCCTGCAAGGAAAATAGTATCGCCACTTTGCTGTCGTGTCGTTTGGCCTTTTTTGGTGAAACTGGCTGACGTGTACCCAAATCCTGAGTATGGCATTTCTGCTCTGAAATTAGAGCTTGCTTGCAAGAGCAGAGTAAGAAAACAGGATCCTTTTAAAGAACAGGAAGTGGGTAATTAGGGCATAGGTGATTAGTAGGTAGACTTAGAACAGCCTGGTCTGTTGACCGGGGTTGATGGGAGAGGAAGGCTGGGTTGGACCACATCATTAGCCTTTACGTGGACGTGAGCGGAATAGGGAGGAGAGCGCCTTCGCCTGACTCAGATTCCGGCAAAGGCCCGTTGCATCTGGTGATGTGAGTAGCAGTGAAGTGGGGAAGGAGGTTTTTCTGTGACCAGATTTCTGCAAGGAAGCTTATTGGCTTTCAAGCACGCATCTGATGACAGTGTAAAAGCTCTTTCTCAATTTGGGTGACGCCTGCCGCACATTTAAAGTAGTTCCTTGCCCGCCTGGGGTTTCCTGCCAGCTGTATGGTGCAGACAGGCAGGCCACAAGAAAGAAAGCAAGCAAGAAAAGGACCGAGCAGGAAAGGGATCTTGGGATGGTGGCAGACCGCTGGATGGAAATGCCAGCTCAGTATGCAGCTGCCATGCGTGAAGAAGAGAAACTCCACACTAGGCTTAATTAGAAGCGGAATAGAAAATAGAACTGCCAAAATCTCACTTCCCTTATCTTTGCTGTGACCACACTTGGAATGTTGATGTTCATTTTTGGGCACCTTACCTAAGAAAGGACATAATTGAGTTGGAAAAAATACAGAGAAGGGCAGCGAAAATGAACAGGGTACTGGAGGAACTCTGCTAGGACAAGCAGCTCATGCAACAACTGGGACTCTTTAGCTTAGAAAACAGGTGAGGAAGAGGAGTTGTGACAGAGGAATTTAGAATTGCACACGTGTGGAGACAGAACCCGGGGTCATCCCATGAAGCTGAGTGGTGGGAGGTTTCAGATAGAAAAAGGAGGTCCTCCTTCACACAGCATAGTTAACTTGTGGCACGGGAAGTGGTGGTGATGGCCACCAAACTGAGGGTTTCAAAAAGGGATTGGGCAGATTCCTGGAGGAGGAGGAGGAGGAGGACGCTATCCGTGGCTACTAGCCTTGCGGGCTACATGCTCCCTCCTTCAGCAGAGGCACCATGCCTGCATAAACCAATTGCTGAGGAGCTGGGCAGGAGGAGGTCTTGCACCCGTCCTGCTGGAGGGGTCCTGGAGCAGCTGGTTTGCCACCGTGTGTGCAGAGTGCTGGACTGGATGGACCTTTGGCCTGATCCTGCATGGCTTTCCTTGGGTGCTTATGACGTGCTGGAACCTTGGAATGACCTGTGCCCGTGCGAAGGCATACAGCGCAAAGAACTCAGCCATCTGGGAGCAGTGCGGAAAGGCTCACAGCTCCAGCTCGTTTGCCTGCGCTGGCTGTTGCCCGGCCCAGCAGCCCTTTCCTCCCTCCTGTCCTTAAAAGTTGGCACTGAAGATTGTGTCGAGTGGACAGTAACCTGCTCTGAGGCCCCTAAGACGTCGTTCTGTCTCTCTCTAGGGTGTATCCATGGCTCAGGGGGCTGGGCTATACATCCCTGACCATTTTTTTGCTGGGTTTTTTCCTCTGGAACGTAGACAACATTTTCTGCGAGAAACTGAGGTGAGTGAATTGTCGTTAACTTTTCTTGTTAAGGTCCTGACCGTGCATTTTGGCAATGTGCCTCTAGAGCCCACCCTGCAGCCTTCTGCCTCTCGTGCGGCTGCTGCTGGCCCCTCTCCCCTGTCTCTGTTGCAGCATCTCCTGGTGAAAGTACATGGCCAGGTAGCTCCTGCTTGCCTGATGGCTTGCTGGCCAGCAGGAGTGAGGTTGAGTTGTAACGAGTCATTGGGCTGTGTACGTTAATACAGCTACGATTATTGCAGTGCGAAGAAACCAAATTAAATAGGACTATTGTAACACACTCTACATGGGGCTGCCCTTGAAACATAGAAACAGAACGAGTCAGAAGGGACCTCCCGGGCCATGTAGTCTGACCCCCGGCTCCAGCCGGCTCCACTCACGACATGCCCACCATGTGCCTGTCCTTGAACACCCGCACCGATGGGGCCTCAGCCACCTCCCGAGGAAGCCCATTCCACACCCTCGGGGTCCTGACTGTCAGGAAGTGCTTCCTGGCATCCAAATGGAACCTGGGTTCCCTGAGCTTTGCTCCGTTGGAGCGCATCCTGCCTTCCTCTGCAGGGGAGAACAGGCCTCTCCCCACCTCCATGTGACACCCCCTCACGTATCTGCATGTTGCCAACAGATCTCTTCTGAGTCTCCTCCTCTCCAGGCTGAAGAGACCAATTCCCTCAGCCTCGCCTCAGACCCCATCCCTGAAACCAGCCACCAGCCTTGTGGCCCTACGCTGCACTGGTCTGGATACTTCAGTTGGTCCAGAATAGAGCAGCCAGGTTGCTGGGACCAGCAGAAATACACACACAATGCCGGTCCTGTACCATCTGCGCTGGCTTCCAGTTGAAGTCTGGGCCCAACTTGAGGTGCTGGTGATGACTTATAAAGCCCTAAATGGCTTAGTACCTGGATATCTGAAGGAGCACCTCCTACATATACCTACCCAGCCCCTAAGGTCCGGAGTGAAGGTCCTTCTTCAGGAGCCCTCTCTGAAGGAGAACAGGAGAGTGGCTACCTGGAGTAGAGCCTTCTCTGCTGGCACCCTGGCTATGGAACGGGTTCCCTCGAGAGGTGTGCCTGGCATCCATGCTTTTTCCATTTTTGCTCCAGGCCAAAATCTTTTTATTTTCCCATTATTTTAAATGTTAGTAGTGTTTTACGATTGGATTTTATCTACTATAATTTGGATGCTGTATCTTTATTTTATTGTATTACCACCCTGAGACATTGTGAAGGGCGGGATATAAAAGAGAGAGAGAGTTCGTGAAAGGACTACCATAGAGCTGGTGACCTTTCCATGTGGTAGTTTTCCTGGCTAAATGTAGGGATATCCTGGAGGCACTTGTTGATCTTCATGATATGCTGCAAATACAGGTTTAGATGGGCCTATGTTTTGAAACTCTACTCAAATGAGGTGGTCACCTCCCCTTCCCAGAGCAATTAACTGATCATGTTCAGGAGGAAGGTCTCTTCACACATCATGAGGACCAGAACCTTGCCTTTCCTTCATTTTTAAAAAACTGGACAAAATAATAATATGCCAGCTTGAATGTCCCAAACAACTTTTAATTTAAATATCAGTTTACGCTCTCACATTTGTCTGCCTTCTGGGCTCTTGGAACTGCATCTGAATAGGGGCTTCCTATTTTATCCTGGCCAGCTCACAGCAGGGGAGTCCGGGCACTTGCCCAGGCAGTCCGAGGGGATGCGTGCCCTTGATGCAAACACTGAAAACCCCCCTCTGAGGAAAGGCTGCAGCAGGTGGGGGGCTCTTTAGGGAAAGGGAGGCACAGTGTGGCGAGACGAGCTAAGGGAAGTGTTCTCCCTCTGGCAGAACACCGAAACCCAGAAACCCAGTTTGCCATCCCATGAGGCAGGTGGGGGGAAGATTCGGGACAGGCCAGAGGGAGCCCTCTGCACGGCACGTGGGCCCAGCCACGGGATCCAGCCTCACAAGATGCCACGACAGCCGCCCGTGTGGGCAGCCCCGAAAGGGGGCTGGCCAGAGCTACAGAGCAGGAGGGCTGCCAGTGGCTACTAGTCTAGATGACCCTGTGCATGAGCCAGTCTTCAAGTTCATACGCCTCTGAGTACCAGGTGCTGGGGATCATGGGCATGAGGGTGTCGTCGCAGCTTCCTCTTGAGCAGCTGGTTGGCCACTGTGTGAGCGAGATGCTGAACCAGGTGGGTCCTCGCTCTGTTCCGCCAGGGCCCTTCTTACATTCTTGAGGCTCAGCAGGGTCCAGGGTGGCCTGAACGGGGGCACCTTCATCAGCAAATCTCAGGCTGCAGAGAAGAGCTGCCTGAACGTGGGCTTTTTGCTCCGTTACCGCAGGGGTCTGTTTTCAGCTGTCTCCTTTACAGCCACTGGGGCGAGCCTGCCCCGGAGCCGAAACCAATTCCATCTATATCAAATTAACCAAAAGTTGCAAGAAGCAGCTCTCGTCTCGAGTCAGGAAGGCCTCCCGGGGCATTTGAAAGGCGATCTGCAAAGGCGAGCCCTGGGGCTGCGCACAGCCTTTCCCGGGCAGTGAGGCATCTACTTGCAGAGCAGGCAGCGTGGTGTAGGTCGCTCTCGGGTCATGCAACTTGGCTGCAGTGCTCCCGCTGAAAGAATGGAAAATCCGTCTTCAGCAAGCTGTCTAGGGAAGAAAAGGTCGTGTTTGCCTTGCCCATTCTTCCTAGAAAGCCGGCTTTCGTTCCCAAGTCTGTGACTGGACAGCTTAGACGGGGGGAAAGGTTTGACCGATCTTGTTGCTTCTCTCCACAGGGCGATACGTGAGAGCCTGCCTCCGCTCGTGAGCGTCGTGACACAGTTCCACGCTTGGTGGCACATTTTTACGGGCCTCGGCTCTTACCTCCACATCTTGTTCAGGTGCGATGGCCTTCCCTTCCCGGCAGCTCTCGGTGGGAAACTCCTCCCCTGGTCCCCACCTGCTGTGCAGCTAGAAGCCCTTCTTGCAGAGCATCCCGGTTGCTTGGTGAACGCTCTGTTCCCGTTCTCAGTGTGGAGCGACGCCCTGGGCTGCTCTCCCTTCGTTCCCCCACAGTTGTGGTGGGTGGGTGGATGGAGGGGGCGGGCTCAGTCCAGAGAGTGAGCTGGGGGCTTGCAAGCCCCCCCCCACCTTCTGCTTGCGGCCAGCCAAGCGGCCCTGTGGTGTTTCGTTCACACTCTGTCACATGCTGGGCTTGCAGGCCTCGCGAGTGTGTGGTGACCCGTCCCCGGTGCCTGGGGGCAGGCCGCTTTCTCCACGGCGTTCTGTTCTCACGGCTCTCCGGTGGCCAGACCGAGAGGGGTGTCTGTTTTCCGTAGCGGGCCTGTGTTCAGCTTGGCAGCTCGCAAGATACACAGATTCTTTTAATTGTGTTTCGCCTCTCCGTCTCTTCCAGCTTATACTCAAGGACACTTTACTTGAAGTACAGGCCAAAGGTCAAGGTAAGCATTTGGGATTTTAAAGGCACAACCCTGCACATGGTTAGGCACAGAAAAATGGCCTGCATCTCCCATCATGCTGGCCGGGGCATGCTGGGGGATGCTGGACTTGTTTTCTCTCCCAGCATACACAGGATTGTGCCTCGGTGTAATCCGGGTCTTGTGCAGCAGAAATAGGGCCCTTCTTATGACTAGGACTTGTTAGAACAAGGTGTGTAATAGTGGCAGTGACGCATACGTATTTTTTATTTTTATTATAGAAAAAAACAAAATGTACGACATACATAAAACCTGCTGTGTCAATCTAACATTAAGAAGAGGATATAAGGGCAGATTGTATCCTGAAGTCTATTTATTTTACTTCCAATATATAATCAGCAATGTCCATTTCCCCCTCAATAAATTTGTTAAGTTGTACACCTGCTTGAGTCCTTGTGTAGCAAGTTAATTTTGTCACGAGCACAATTGTCTACGTCAGAAGGGACTGTTCAGTGGTTAAGGAATCTGTCAGCTTTTTCTTCCTGGCCATTTGATGAATCACAGCACTCTCAGGGGGCCTGTCACAAATTCTAATCTGTTGGGATAAGGTAGCCCAGCAAAAGTACCGCAAGGCAGTCTTTCCCAACCTGGTGTCTTCCGAAAGGTTAGGACCGCGGCCACCGTGACTCCCAGCCAGCATGACTCTGGAGATCTGGTTGTTACGGTGTTGGTCTGGGGCTTGAAAGTCCCAGGTTCTGGTTTCCCCTGGGCCATAAAGCTCACTGGGTGACTTTGGGCCAATGGCTGACACTCAGCCAAACCTACCTCACAGGGCTGTTGTGAGGGTGAAAGGGCAAGATGGAGGAGGACCACGTCAGCTACGTTGGGCTTCTTGCAAGAGCACCAAGGTGGGGTAATACGTGTAGTAATCGTACTGTAACTTCCATGTGGACGACACCAGGTGGGGGCAGTTTGCTTTAGAGTCTTGAGATATTGCGTAACCAGTCATTTAGTCCCCCAAAGTTGAAACCATTCTTTGGAAAGCTTGGATTAGCCGTTTTAAAACAGGAAGGCTGCTTGTGCTGCCTGCCGTCGGAGCTCTTGAGCTTGCCGGATGGTGGACTATTTTGCACGGCGTACCTGGAGCCGTGTTCGCAAAGGTGCGCATCCCTGCTGAGCAGGTGAAGTGCGACAGGTGTCTTTGCGACGTTGCTCCATGAGGTTGTGCCAGGCCCCGAGTCGTACTTCTCCCGGGTTTAGGGCCACTGTGCTTCTTGAGAGCTGTAGCTGGGCTTGGGCTGCAGGAGAGGGCGTCTGCCTTCATCCCCGGCTAGCGGGCCACCAGAGAAGAGAGTGCTAGCCTAGCTGGACCTGTCGTCTGACCCTGCAGGGTCACCCTTGCATTCTCCTCCACCCCTGAGCGGCAAGGCACACGTGTTGCATATCTTTGGTTCCATGCCTGGCACATCTCTGCTGAAAAGCAGAAGGTAGCAGCTGATGCGAAAGACCATTCGTTATCTGGAGCCCTGGATAGCTCCTGTCAGTCTGATGACAGAGACGTCAGTGATGAGCAAATGACAAGGCTTCATGCATAACTCTCCTCCTCTATGCATCAGGGTCTTCTGATGGCTCTTGTTTTCCTTGTCCGTGGTTTGCCTGCTCTGTCATCTTGTTCACTTTATCTTTGGGCTGCCTGTCCTCAGTGGATCAGTGAAAGTCTTTCTGATCCGTTAAACATGTGGAGCTGCTAGTCAGGAAGCGGACCGTAAGGTTTTTATTCTCTCAAGCCACGTGAGATCTTGTAGGCCCTTGAGTCACAGATGCCAGGAGTAGAGGCCTCCCACTTCTTCCCTCTCTCCCTCTGCCTGTTTTCTCTTCAATGTTTGTTTTTTAATAGGCGTACTTAATTGAAGAATAATTATGCAATGAAACGGCAGCTCCCCCTCCCCATTTTTATTTTATTCTTGAAAAGACTTAGCATTGGTTTGCAGCATTCTGAACTGCGGAAGAGGGTATAAAATACAAGCACCCTCCGAGGACCATCCAGACTATTTACTTAACCCGACAGACTTCATATTTAGTTTGGCCCTAAAGACAACTTCAAAACACTTAAATGTCCTTGGGAAGAACAAAAACATTGAAACAACGGACAATAATGGAAAAAGAATAACAGCACATAGGCCACTAGCCTAAGGGTGAAATTCTGTGCATTTTTGGAGTGGAAAGTCCTCCAGTTCCCGCAGCATTCTGGCTCGGGAATGCTGAGAGAGGAAGGACTTTTCTCAGTCTAAAAATACATAGGCTGAGCTTGAGCAAATGTGACTGAGTGGACAAGAGTCATAAATGCACCTCCTGTCTTCTTTCTAGAGGGTGCCTCAGGGGTGAGTCCCATCTCAAGGTTACTTCCCACAATAATAAAACAGGTGGTACCTTTTACAATACTAACCCACAATCTGGCCAAAGTGAAATTATGGCTAAGCTCCAGCAGGAAAGCGGTTTAACTTTCTCCAGTTGAAATCAGCGGGACATAAAAGTGCTTAAATGTGCCCTGTGCACTGAGAAAGCCCTGAGCCCCTCATGCAGTTTTGAAATACTGTAAAGCGCGGGTTACAAAAAATTGAAATAAATAGATGTCCCGGAGGACACGTACCCAGGCAGGAATTTTCTCCTAATACCTAACAGACCCCCTGGCCGGTACCACAGGAATGGGAGCTTCAAAAGGCAGTGTCGCTGCCGGGATCTTGTGTTTCCGCTGAACCAGCCGGGCTTCACAGAGCCCAGAAAACCCACGAGTGCAGTGCTTCTGGCACAGCTGCCAGGTTGGCCAGGCGGGCAGGCCTCGCGGACCAGCATGCCCTTGCACCATCCTGGCAAGACGCGTGCTTTGGTGGAGGCAGACCTTGTGCACACCACCAAAGCTGTTGGCGTGGCGTGCTGCTTGACGAGGCGGCAAGCAGGGCCTCATTTTACCATGGAGATTTGTGCCACGTGCTTTGATGCGCAGAAGTAGTTTATGGCAGATCACCAAAATGCAAAATGAAACATTTCACCAGGAGACCCCCCGGGAGCCCTTTGGCTCTCCCTTTGGCTCTCCTGGCTGCCGACACCTGGCAGTGGGGACTGAGCATTCCCTCTGCTAAGGAAGCGAGCGCCCTGCAGCTGTTCCTTCTCAGACTGCTGTGGGGAGCCAAGCTGGCCTGCCCCTTGCCACGCGGTCTTCCTGAGAGGCGGCAGCCCCTGTTCGCCGGGCTGTTGGCCACAGCCCAGAGCGTGCCTCTGTCCGCGTGGTGGAAGGGACTCGGCGGCTCAGCGCAGAAAAAGGGACCCGGGTGCTGGGAGCAGCCGCCTTTTCTCCCATGGCTGGCCAAGTCCCAGGGTTTGTGTGCCACATGTCCTGTGGGGGACAGCAAGCAGCAGACAGGGTCCGACAGATCTGGGAGAAGTAGCCGCTCTTCCCAGCATCAGCCAAGTTCCCCGCCAGCTACTGAGATCCCTGGAAGGAGTCAGGGGGGCTTATCAGGCTGGACTGGGGGGTCCAGCGAGCCTCCTGGGGGCTGAGGTTCCGTGCACCTGGCTGAGGCAGGATGAAGGGGTGAGGCCGGCCTTTCCGACTGTCCCGTGTTTATCGGCTCAGCCTTTCCTGAGAAACGAGGAGGAGGCAAGAGTCATCTTCGCAATGCAGGATGGCTTTAGGGTATAAACACCCAATCAACTTAAATTATTCTTTACTAGGTTGCCAACTTTTAAAATTGGCTTCTGTGGGTGATGAAAAGTGCCTCTGTGTTGTGGAAAGCTTCGTGCGCTGCTTCCCACGGAGCAGGCTGCCTTAAAAAGCATATCAGAAGGCCAGGTCTTCCGATGCTGATCGCCTGGCAACCTATATCTTACCCACCTTTGTCCAGCATGCAAGCATAACACAACCTCTGTGGGGGAAATGTGGGGATGCATAATTAGATCACTAATAACCAGAAGAGGATCTCCAGGGTTTTGTATATTTTCCTGTGTTCTGCCCAGCAGTCTAAGAAACCCTCTTTTTTCCTTCCTTTTCAATAGTTTCTCTTTGGGATTTGGCCTGTTCTCTTAGTAGAATTGACCAAGAAGCAATGACAAGGACTTCTAGCCAAAACCGAAGAGGCACTACCCTGGATGCATAAGGATATCCTGCAATCATTTTGACTGATGCGCTGGGGATTCTTGGCACTGTCAAGAGATCTCTTTCCCCCTCTCTACTCCTGGAGCCACAGAGAATCATGTAGAACCGAGAACCGACGTATCTACGGAAGCCACAACTAGAGGTTATCCCCCCAGTCCAAATGAGAGCGCAGTCTTTCTCACACACTTCTTAGATGGCTTGCAGGTGCTGGGCAGAGTTGCAGCGGGCACAGGAAAGGGGCACGCATTCCTTTCAGAAGCAAGTTGCCCTGGCTGCCACTGGGCCAAGCAGACTCTTCATCAGTGGTTGAAAATTAAATGAGTGCAGCCTGAATGGCGCAAAATGCCGGAATCAAATTTGGAAGGACAGTCCCTCCGAGTTGCAGGAGGCTCCGTGGCCTGGAGCATGTTCCACGCGCCTATTGTAATAGGGCGATATTCTGCCACTTTCTTGAAACTGCTTTGCAGAGATAAAGGAGAGTCAGGTTAGAAGCCCCGCTCTTTCAACAAGGTGCCATGTCCCAGTTCTGTCTAGAAAGTAGGGCATTCCTTTCTGGCTTGCTCCATATGCAAATAAATCACCCCCCCCACCCAAGATTTCCATGCATAGTTGCACCTAAGAATCTCTCAATAGAAGGCCAGTTGTCCAGCGCAACTGCACAAGCTGCCTGAGTAATTACTTGGGCACGGATGAAACAGTATTAACCAGAGAGACATAGCCCGGATGTTGCCAGAATATGCTTTTCTGACGCCTCTGTGCAGTCTGCTGGTACTGCAAACTGCCTGCAGCCTGTGTTAGCTGGGAAGCCCGAACCCCATTACTGGCTGCGTCTCCTGGGAAATCGGTCGGCTAAAGGCACAAACCTGCCCTCGCCGCCTCCATTTGGGATGTGAAATTTGGAGGCGGACTTCCATTCCAGCCTGAAGAATGGCTTAGAAGTAACCAAGGGCTACTTCTTATTTTAAAAAGAGCAACTTTACACCCTACCAGAGTATACCATCAAAGCCTTGTTGAGATGGAAGGTACTTTTTGCCACTCTGAACCCCTTGGAGGACAGGCAGGGTAGTAACGTAAATAATTAAGCCGGAAAAAGAAAGAAAGCCCCCGAAAAGCAGAATTGCTGCTTTGAGCACCTCTCGCTGACGTGTGCTGGATTGTATGGAGCACAACCTGCGCACTGATAGGGTGTGCATGCGGTGTGCATTTGTGCTAGCATCCTCAAGTATGAATAGAGAAACCAGTAAGTTTGTCTTGTCGTAGTGTGGTGCAAAGCACAGCATCGCTTTGACTGTCGTGAACGTGTGGCCGCCTCTTCTCTGTGTCCCTTGCACTTCTGAATGTTTCATCTCCAGCTCACCAAGCCCCTCTTCAGCCAGCCAGCCAGCCAGCCAGCCAGCCAGCCAGCCAGCCAGCCAGCCAGCCAGCCAGCCTTCTCGTTCTTAAATTCATGACTGTGCTACCTAAAAAATCCACTCCTTTTAAGGGGACTTTCCTCAGCCTCGGCCCTTCCCGATACACAGCTGCCCTCCTCCCCAGCCTGCATGGCACGTTGGCGGGCACCTGGTTGGGGAAGGCTACCCCGAACAAGCTTGTTCGGCCCATTTATCATCAGGAAACTCAGTCTGTGGTCTAAAAATCAAAGACAGGACAGCCCTTTGCTGCTTCTCTCTGCTTATTTGCTGCCTTTGGCTGTATCTCAATTCACGCAACCGCTTAAGACACAACTTGGTGCAGGGTTGGACAGAAGAACGTCCCACAACTCCCAGCATCCCCCAGCCAGCCAGCCCCCCCCCCCCCACAATCTGAACTTGCGAATCCCAGAAGGTGTGCTTCTCTCCCAGACCCCATGTCCCCACTCCTGGATTCCTGGGACAAGAATGCCCATACAGCCGAGGCTAGAATGCACCCTTCCCTAAATTCTTTTGTCTTTCCCTCTAGCTTAAAAACATGTGAATGAGCCACTTTTTAAATCATGTATGCTTGTAGCTGAGTAATTTGCTCATGCGGTCGACCGCAAATCAAAAGAATGAGCCTGCAATTTCCAGCCCTTGAGCTACAGGTGGTGTCTTCCCCCCATGAGCTTAGACCCTAAAATCCAGCTCCCATCCCATTTCTGGAAGCATTTTAAGAACAGGGAGCTTCCTGCGGGTTTTCAGCTCAGCATTGACCGCACAGACTGGCAGGAGCCATTTGCAGGGTTTGTGCAAAGTCCCGGCCTGGAGACACCAGGAACTGAATCTGAAACCTTTTGCATGCAACAGATGCGCTCTACCCATTAGCCAGTTCACACATCCCAACAATCCGCTGTGGTTTATACAAGGGCTGGCTAACCCTGCCACAACCCCTGCTGCCCGGGTGCACACCACACAAAAGGACACAGCAAGTGTGAGCCAGCCGAGGCAGCTTCACTCTTAAGTGAAGAGACGAGCATCCAGTGTGACGTCTGGTGTGATGTGCAGAGCAGGTTGCGTGTCTGCAGGCTCCTCCTCTGGGAACCTGCTAATTGCTCTGCCGGTGCGCGAGGCAGATCTTTGCTTTCTGCACACTGAGTGCAGACACATTGCCGGCCACTGGGAAAAGGACAGTTTCTTCCTTTGCCACCCACCAAATGTGCAGAGAGAAAAGCCCATCGTCCTCAGCATAGGAGACGTAGGCTGGCAGAGGAGGCAAGCAGTGCTGTGCCTTCTGTTTTATTCACCTGCCTGCTGTTTACCTGGGACTGGCAAAGGAGGGTGTGACTTTCCTTGCCATGGGTAGAAAGAAAGCGAGTGAGTAAAACTAATTTTCAGGCTGGTCCTTTTGGGGAGCTGGATTGAAGAAACCCTACAGTTCTAAAAAGAAGAACGACTTCTGTCCCAGAGCGCGGTCACACACGGAGAGATGAAAAGCTCCGCTCTCCCTCCCAAACTTCTTTCAGGCTTGCTTGTTTTAAGGGAGCTACCAGGTTGCTAGCAAAGCAAGGGCTCTTTACTTGCAGGTTTTTGTAGCATGCTAAGGGAACAGGAAACTGGCTGTCTGTCTGCAGCATGTCAGCCTGATAGAATAATCAGTTGCTTTTGGGACCGTGATAGTCCTGTGGGGCTGGCGAAGCCGCAGACAGTCTGAGAAGGGCCCCCCTCGTCCCCTGGGAAGGACCCCTGGCTACTCCCCAACTGCATGATGTGGGGCATGGAGCAGCGAGGGGTTTTGGTGCTGGTCCCGTGCGGGGTGGAGGATGAGGACGCAGGCGACACTCGGTATTTCCCCATTGACGGAAAATACTGCCTGTGACGATCCTGGAGAGGGTCGGACCGTTGCCATGGGGGAAACACTGCGGGATTGGAGAACGAGCCGAAGCACTCCCGGGAGCCCAAAGCCGCCCCCTTAGCGCAGCCTGGCCGCTGCGCATCAGCATCGATCTCCTGTGCGCTCCGGCCTCATCCACCTGTTTACGCGCGCCTGCAAGCCTCAGCTTTTTCAGGGGGCATCTCCAAAACTGGCACCCAGCCCCAGGGAGCGAGGGGTTCTTCAGGAAAAGCAGGGGTTTTTTAGGGGGTATAAGCGACACATTCAGTCCTTCGTTAGCTGCTTGCAGGTTCGGCTGCCAATTCTTGCAACCCCCAGGCAACCAAAGGCACAACCCTGTGCAAGTTAAGGCAGAAAAAAGGCCTACAACTCCCAGCATGCCCTGCTGGCTGCCTGGGCCCTTCTGTCCCAGTTTGTGTAGGATTGCACCCTGAAGCGTTCTGCGGGGAGCCTCTCCCTTCTCCCGGCTTAGCTGAAGGAGCCCATGTTTGTTCTGAATGTATCTTTACAAACTGCACTTGTAGGCTTGCAAGAAGGTGCTTTTCTGACCGCGCTTCTCTGCTGCCTGCCTTTTTGAATTGTGCAACGCCACATAACTCTGGGTGTCTGGATCATTGTTCCTTGTAAAATCCGGGCTGCCTTCCCAGAAGGACTAGAAATGGAGCACATGAATAAATGTGGACATGTCGAGCCAAACTGCCAATGAGGTGAATCCTGTGGTTTAGCATGACCTGCTTTGGGGAGGGCTTGGGTTTAGTTTTGATTAGAAGGGCTAATAGTCGCAGCTTGGCTGGAAGGCGGTGAGGGTAACTCCTGATCTGGAGCCAACAAATTTCAACCTTCTGCCGCTTAACTGTTTTAAGCCAGATTTCAAATTGCTGCTGTTTGCCCACCTCAGTCCCAGTCCCAGTCTCTACCCTGCTATTGCCCAAAGCAGCTACTATTACTAATTTAATTCATGTTAAACTTGTAAACCACCCAGAGGGCCCTTTGACCTATGGGGCAATATATAAGTGTAATAAATCAATAAAATAATGATTGAATCACATCTTTAATGTCACCTGTACTTTGGCTCTAAGAAGCCACCACCCAAAGTCCAGAAACCAAAACCTGACCTTGCAAATGCTGCGACTGCCTCTTGATTTCCCCAAAAATGGGGTGCCATGGGCAGGAACAGCTCACCTCACTCCTGGAGAGAAGGTGCAGCAAGCGACAATCCCCACAGCAGCCTAACTTCCCTGAAATCATTTTGATCTCGGCTATGGATCCAAAACCACTGTGTTGATTAAGAAGCCCTTCACAGGGATCTGGTTCTGCAGCAGGCTCACCCGTGGGTGCGTATGAATCTTGCCCAGCTGACCCAAAAGAGAGATTTCGCAAAACTGCTTTCCTCACAGCCACAAAGGTGTTGAAATAGTAAATTGGGACAATAACTTGCTGGATTGATTTGCAAAACCAGATTATCAAATGTTTTGATCATTAAAAAAAAAATGGAGGACAGGCCACACCTGTTCGTGGCAGGTGGGAAGGTTGGGGTCTCCCAGCACAGCTCTGGGGGACTAGCAGCAGAGTAGCAAGCGTCTCTGAGCCCGCCTTGTTCAGCAGTGGCGGTTCCAAGATCCAGACTAGACCCCTGGACCTCTCGTAACCTGACTTCTGAGTTCTAGGGGAAAGCATTCTTGAAGTCTGCCCCCGATTTCGACTGCCTCGAGTACGCAGCCTTTTCTCCTACAAAAGTCTGGTGGTGCGTCAGAGCACCACGACCTTTTCTGGGAAGATGCTTGATGCTGTATTCTCGAGACGCAACTTCTCCCTGTAACCGCCTCATCAGGTGGATCTGTGCACTGGACAGATGACTATGCGGTGGAAGCAAAGTTGGGCATCGTGGTATTTGCATACTGACCAGTATTAAAGAGGCCTCCCTCTTTAACGGGTCTGTCTAAACATCATCTTTGCCCCCCTCCGTGAAATCTGCTCTCTTTTGCCCAAGGAGAACTAAGCTACAGTTGGCGGGTTTTCGGAAATCAAGCCCATCTGCTGACGAGTCAGACTTGGTAATTAATATAAAAGGTGGGTTGGCCAAAGTGAAGAGTGGAGGAGATCAGGGCCAACAGGTGCCTGGAGGAGTCGGGAATTCCCAGAGGGGACCAGAGGTGTGTAAAATGTAGGTGCCCATTCCCAAACTTGAGGTGAGGTAGGTGGTCCCCAGGGAGCTTTTCCTAGTGGAAAGAATAGCCGTTCCACACAGAGAACCATCCAGCTATTCCGCTTCCTGGGTGGCGAGCTGAAATGATAAGATTCTGGGAACACGTGAACTAACTTCTCTGCTCTTTGAATTCGGCCTCGGTTTCTAATCTTTTCCCACTCGTTTTAACATTTCTTTCTGGTTCCTCTCTGGTCTCTGGATCTGCACTGGTTGCTTAATATGCCTTTCTGTCTTCCTGATGTGTGACGTGCATTGTTCAGGTCTGCTTTTCTTCCATCCCAAGACAGCCCATCCCCAAGCTGTCCGTTATCCAGGCTTTTCCCGAAGAAGCCACAGTTTTCCGTTCCCCTCCTTTAAGTCAGCAGCTTATTGGCTGCATTATTACTCTTGCAATGTCAGCGGATTGCCCCTATAAGCTCCAGAGACCATTGGGAGTATTTTTTAGACATACCTCTTTATGACTGCCTCTAAACTCTGATTTTATTTTGTCCTGCCAAATGAATGTTGATTATTGCACTGATTTTAATGTGGCATTTGCCGTCGGAGAGGGAAATGGATCCGAGTTGCCATAAGGGGTATGGGACACAAAGCAACCAGCCTTTGTGTTAACACTTATTTGTGGGTTTATTAATGTACAAAAAAACCTTTACAAGTGAATATACTGTGGCTGTATCATGAAACTACAGCTTAACTGTATATAAAAGCCATTGTAATATATAATGTTTAAGCATTTTGATATACTATATTGAAACCTTTCTATGGGACTCCTGTCAACTAATAAGCTTATATATAAACACACCCACACTATTATTTTGCAATAAAGTGGCTTTTTCAGATTTAAAGGTATTTAATCAATTTACCCTTCAAACATTAATTATGCCTTTATAGCTGATATTGACATTGATAATTATTAAAGGATCTTTGTTTTTAAGTAAGACTCCGTTGTGGGATTTTGAGAGGGCTCTTTCGAGCCTGTATCTAAAATTCCCCTCCATTACGCAAACTCAAGGCAAACTATATCCAGCCACCTGTGACCAGCAAGCTCATTTTCCAAGTGTACCTTGTGTAGCCAAATTGGCAGCCACCCTGCAGCAGGTTTGAGGGTATCTCCAAATCTGTTGAGGTATCACAGACAGGCAGACAGACAGACAAACTCCTGAGTAAAACAAAGTCCTCTCCTCCATTGAGAGCCAGTGTGGTGCGGTGGTTAAGAGCATGGGACTGGGACTCAGAGGATCTGGGTTCGAGTCCCCGCTCAGCCATGGAGCCAACTGGGTGACTTTGGGCAAGTCACAGACTCTCAGCCCAACCTACCTCACAGGGTTGTTGTTGTGGGGATCAGATGGAGGAGGAGAATGAGGTAAGCTGCCTTGAGTCCTTTGTAGGAAAAAGGCAGGATATAAATCGCAATATAAATAAAAATAAAATAAATCACAGCCCTTTGGTGGCCACAGAACTGCATTCCTGTGCGGGGTATGAACCTGAATGATACAGAGAATAGCGTATTCTACATAAGAAGAGAGCTGGCTAGAGCACTGAACAGCGACCCGTCCCACTGCAACATTTCGCTGCAGTTCGCTCTTGTAATAGCCATAATAGCCGTGGCTCTAGCAAAACATGTGAAGCGCTTGAGCCCACCAAGCCCTGCAGGGGCTTTGTCCTCCATATTGCAGAAGGAAGGCGACACACCCGGGTTGGTCAAACCCACCTGGCCCTGGTCCTCACTAGGGACATGCCTCGGTCTGGGTTGTACCGCTTCAGATTGTGGATGGTTGGGCACTTGAATGCTCTATGCCAGGGGTCCTCAGACTTTTTAAATGGGGGGCCAGTTCACTGTCCCTCAGACTGTTGGGGGGGCAGACTATAGTTTGAAAAAAATACGAACGAATTCCTATGCACGCTGCACATTAAAAATTAAAAATAAAAATAAAATACATTTAAAATAATTAAAATACATTGAAAATAATTAAAAATAAAATACATTTAAAATAATTAAAAATAAAATACATTAAAATTAATTAAAATGTTAAAAATAATTAAAAATTAAAAAATGTTTGCTCACTCGGGCTGTAGCAGAAGCCCAAGATGAGGTGGGGAAGAGCATGTCCATATTCAAGGGACATAGCTACCAATGTCCACAATCGTGCTGGGGGGGGGGGGGGGAACCACGACGGGTTTGCCCTTTGGCAAGGAAAACCATCCCCCCCCCCCCCCCGACCATGCAGGGAGGGGGGGCCCAAACATGGCCATCCCCCCCCCCCCAGCACGCCCGTGATCGCGCCCATCTTCCCTGCACGAGTGCATCCCGATCGCGGCCATCTCCCCACCGAGTACACCTGCTCCAGCTCAGAGTTTTCGAACTCGGAGATCATTTTCTCCAAGCAAGTCCAAAAGGTCTGAGGCGGGCCAGATAAGTAAGCACAGCAGGCTGTAGTTTGAGGGCCCACGCTCTATGCCAAGAAAGCCAAAAAACACCCTACTTCAAGACTTCTCTGCTCAGGGAGACCTTTAGTTCAGAGCTGGGCTTTCTAACATCCAGTTCGTTACTTCAGGGAATCTTAGAACAATCCATCACATGAAACCGCCCCCACCCCCAAGTTCCCAAAATTTAATTTTAATTTAATAAAACGTTTCTAATCCATCCTTCACGGCAGTGTCTCAGGACGGTTCACAAGCTTAAAATAAAAAACAATCAAGAATACCATAGACAATAATAAATAACTAGTAATGGTAAATACAGTCAATAGAATAAAATACAGTCAGGGTTAAAAATGAATAAACCACATTAAAAAAGCGACTGTTGACTTAACTCTAAAACCCCTAATTCTTAAAATGACGTTCAAATAAAAAGGTTTTCACCTGGCACCGAAAAGAGTGCAGGCTCAGCGCCAGGCAAACCTCTGCTTACTGAGTCATACGATATATTATGATATATTATGTCAGTCCACAGTCTTCCAACTTGGCCACAACCCACCGCAAGCTACATTTTCTTCTCACAGCACCCTTAACTTGGTTGGTAAGGGAGCAAAAGCTGCTCCATCTGGTCAAAATCTCCCAAGGCCTGTCCTGAGCGGAGTGGCCCACGCCTTCCAAGGGAGACCAGAGCAACTTCCAGCCACTTTCATGGTGGTTCCAGCAACCTTGGATTACTGCCCGGTCCCTTCCGCAGATGGGGCTGGCACAGCCAGCGTAATCTGTTGTCCCAAAATCCTGGTTAGACTAAAGTAATCATTGTACGTGAGCAAAAACTGAGTAAAATTCTGCTGAACAAGCTGATCCATGCAAGCAATCAAGCACAATCCTATGCATCCCATAGGTGCAATCCTATGCATATTCAGGCAGGGAAAATCCTCCCAGCATGCTCATCTAGGACGTTTTTCTCTCTGAACATGCACAGAGTCACTGCTTCAAAGTTCACGGGATCCAGCTTTTCTCAAGCTGCCTTCCAGAAGAATTTGATTTTTGAGAATATATACAGTTGATGGGGCTTAGCATCAACTTCCCTTTCTCGGATTAACGACAGGACAGATTGATTGGCACCCTGTTGTTGCTGCCAAGGAGAAGCAGCTATATAGTTAACCCCCCCCGCCCCCGCCCTGCATCGGGGGCTGAAAACAAAGATGCACAACTTGGGGTGCCCAGCAGCTGCCTTGTGTAGTGCCAGGGGTTGCGCGTTTGCAAGTGTGCCTGCACAAGGATGCACAAGCTTGAGGCACCCTTTGTTAGCACCAGCAAAGGAAACTCAAGGCAGTACATGGAGAAAAGGGTCCGGCGACTTGGTGGGCTGGAAAGGGTGGGGGGAAGAGCCCCACTCCCCCTGAGAAGATCCCTCGGGCACTGCACTGTGCTGGGCTGGGGCGACCATGGCCGAAGGAAGACCACCCCTGCGCCTGCCTTCCCATCCCTAGGCAGCGTGGCGGGGACAACCATGCCCATGGTGCTGCCTAGAGAGGATGGATCGTCCTCTCCTTCCAGCGGGGGACTGACTTCCATGAGAACCACTGGGCCCCCGTGAAAAGCTCGTCTTAACCGCTTGGATTATTGTAACGCGCTCCACGTGGGGCTGCCCTTGAAAACGGTCCGGATACTTCAGCTGGTACGGAACAGAGCAGCCAGGATGCTGACGGGGACTGGGCGTTATTCTCACATAACCCCAGTCCTCTACCAGCTTCACTGGCTCCCCATCGAAGTCCAGGCCCAATTCAAGGTGCTAGTTTTAGCCTATAAAGCCCTCAATGGCTTGGGACTGGGATACCTGAAGGAACGTCCCCTTCCTTATACGCTTTCATGTCCCTTAAGATCAGCAAGGGAGAGCCTGTCCCAAGAACCCTCCCTGAAAGAGGTAAAAAGGGCATCTACTCAGAGCAGGGCCTTCTCTGCGGTGGCGCCCAGATTGTGGAATGTGCTCCCTGGAGAGGTTCACCTGGCACCGAGTTTATACTCTCTTCGGCGCCAGGTCAAATCCTTTTTATTTAACCGTTATTTTAAAAATTAGTATTTTAATGCAACAGTTGTGTTTTATTGGCTATATGTTACTTATTCTTTAGACTGTTTCTAATGGATTTGATTTTACTGATTGTGAGCCACCCCAAGGTGCCATGCATAAGGGGTGGCATATAAAAGTTTTAGATAAATAGATAAATAACCAGCCTTCCTTCAGCCTGGATTCTTTCAAATGCTTTCGCCCACATTGGTCTTGCTGATGGGGATTGTAGGCCAAAACCTCCCAGGACGCCTGGGGGAGTTCCACCATCCGTCGCCATCAGCTTTTGGGTCAATGCCGCCCCCTGCTGGTTAAAAAAATCAGTGCTGTCCCAACCATTGGTGAGGGATGGGGTGATCTGAACATTATGCAAAATTGTGTACAGAAAGGCACTCATAAGGAGACCCACAAACAAAAATGGGCACGAATTTCTATCCAAATGCCTTTAAAGTTTTGGAAAAATCCAGCATAAGATTGGAAACATTCTCAGTTTGGGAGAAACTGCATTTATAGAAACAGAAACCAAGTGAGTCAGAAGGGGTCTCCTGGGCTATCTAGTCTGACCCCCGGCTCCAGCTGGCTCCACTCATGACATGCCCACCATGTGCATGTCCAGCCTATCCTTGAACACCCTTCCCGTTGGGGCCTCAGCCACCTCCCATGGAAGCCCATTCCATACATATGACTGGTAATAACTGCAATGCCATGTAAGATTAGACTTTTTAAAAAGGCTTTTTCAGTCTAAATTTGCATAGAATTGCACCCCAAAAGCTGAAATGAGCAGATTTGTTCTCACTACACAGACAGTATTTCCAGTGCTCTGCCACACAATCCATATTCTCTGCATTTTCCAGCAACTCCAGCCTGTGGAGAGCCACTCCAAGCAGTTTCAGAAATGCAGTAGATGGCCAGGTGTTTTTTCCCATGCAATTCTACCTACCATTTACCCTTTTTCCCCCTAAACCAAATACTCCAAACTTGGAAGGGTTAACGCCCATCACCTATCATGGGAGAGCTACCTGGTTTTGTGATGTCTCAGCATATTTGCTACAACTTTCAAAGCCATGTAGATGCTTATTTAAGCACTCCTCTCTGCTCATATTAACATAGGTGGATGGCAGGGAATGGAAATGCTACACTTCCCTCTCCTGCTGCTTTTCTTCTCTCCATATCAAGGGAACTGTTAATGATTATATTGATATGTTTTACGATGGACATTTTTCTCCTCCTCCGGGTTAATTGGGTTTCGTTCTCATTGTGTTGCAAGGAGCAATATTTTAAAAAAGTAACCTGGGGATACCCAGATATGTTGGCATGCAGCTCGGATAATCATTGACACTGGATATGCAGGGGTAGACAGGAGTGTTCTTCAAAACATCTGGAGGAAACCTGGAACGTAGGATCAGGAATGTAAAACCTTTTGGCTCAAGGGCCGAGTTCCATATTGG